TCTCCCCCTTCTCTTTCGGGTTGGTGATCCAGCAGGTCTTTGACAATGGCAGCATTTACAATCCTGAAGTGCTGGACATCACCGAGGAGACCTTGCACAAGCGCTTCCTGGAGGTGAGTGCCACAGCCGTATCTGTTACGTTCCTGCTGCCTTGCTGCTGTGGCAGCCAGCGCTGCCCCAGGATGAAGTGTCATCTCCGGTGTTTTCCACAGGGTCCTGCAGAGCCAGGAGCTCTCGCCAGTGCCCTGCAGAAACAGTCTGTCAAGGAGCACCTTCTGTAGCCGTTTTTGTCTGGAGCTACTTCAGAAAGCACTTGAGGCCATTTAAATCCTGGTCTGATTTTACAGGAGCCGTGTTACCTGTGTGCATTGCGTGCTGTCCCTCGTTACGTTGGCGGTGTAGAAACACGCCATCATCTGCTGTGGTTTCCAGTCCAGGTTATTTCTCAGAGCACAGTAACGTGAGTCTCTCTCCTCATAGGGTGTCCGTAACGTTGCCAGCGTCTGCCTGCAGATTGGGTACCCAACCATTGCTTCCGTGCCCCACTCCATCGTCAACGGGTACAAGCGGGTCCTCGCCGTGGCAGTGGAGACTGACTACACCTTCCCGCTGGCTGAAAAGGTAATGGCTGAGTGATCCGCTGCTTTCACAGAAACACCTTGCATGTCACCTGGTCTGAAAGGACGCGGCCCTGCCTGTTTGCAAGGGACCTGTCCTGAAAAGGGGCGCTTGCTTCCACACAAATGTATGGAATACACATTCCATTGTGCACAAACGGCAGGTGACAGCTGAATTACCTGGTGTTCCTTCCTCCCTGTGGCTGTTACATTTGGGTGTAGCCAAAATGTCTCTGATTCTTCGTATCCCTCAGCAATAAGTGCATCTGTTTGGCTTCTGGCGAGCTACAAGCCTCGCCTTGGTGATTGCAAAGCTTCGGTCCTTCAAAATGTTTGTTTCCTTTGAGTTTACCTTGTATTTTTCCCCCTTTTGCAGGTGAAAGCCTTCCTGGCAGACCCCTCTGCTTTTGTGGCGGCCATCCCTGTGGTGGCCGAGGCGGCTGCACCGGCTGCTGCTGCTGCTGCTGCCCCGGCGAAAGAGGCAGCGAAGGAGGAATCGGAGGAGTCTGATGAGGACATGGGCTTCGGTCTCTTTGACTAACAGCAGCCACCACCTGTCTGTTTGTGTCAGAGTTGGTCCAGTTGGAGAAATAAAAGCCTATTTTACACCTTCACGTGTGCCTGCATCCATGGCTTCATCTCCGGGCCGCC